CTGGGAAGTCAATGACAAAGACTTGCCGCCAGTCTAGGTAACCCAACCCTCCCAGGTTCTCGGTGACTCGGTCTTCACAGTGACTCCCGGCACACGGCACATGGTAGTCTAGGCACATGGGAGCCAACCCCTACTCCACAGAAACACCCCGTAGACAGCCCGATTTGTGTGTTTTGCAGATATTGGTAAGTACACAGACATGTTAAAGGAAGGTGATGACGAGTTGTTACATAATATTAATTGTTATGTTCAACCTGTTGTTAAATATTGTTGGTTTAAGTTACAACATGCACTGACAGGCAGGTGTGAAGTGTAACCTGTCGTAGCTGTGCCCGGGTGTCGTTGTCGCCGTAGTCGTATAAGTTATACGGTCAGTGTGCAGGCTATCTAAGACATCCCCGACCATCCATGCCGAAGTTGCCATTGTTAATACACTTATTGGGATCAAACTGGTCCAGTACGAAGTCAGTAATTCATGAAAAGCCGATGTTTTAAATAGTGAACAAGCTGGAGTTACCTCCCTTCCACCATGTGACAGTACAGTGTTCAGCCCTGTGCGATAGACTTGTGATTAACCGAGCGTCAAGGTGTGAAGTATTACAGGCTTGTGTAATGTCTTACTGTCGTTAGATCTATACATTCTCTGTGCATTACACGTTTAATTTAGACTTTCAGTCACGTCTATTTCTTCCCAGCGAGCCTTATTAAACTTTGGGTAAATTCGCTAAGATAATCAATGTCGTGATCAACCTGTTGCTGCAGGAGTTACCTCCCTTACACCGCGTCCACAATTCGATCTGAGTGCGGTATCACCTTTTGGATCTGTGAGTAAGAATACAATAGATACCGATATATGGATGTTAACAAATGCAAGTTTCTCACTTTCAAACCATATATGTTTCACGTAACAAATGTTATATTTGGGATTACACTTTCTCAGTAAAGTAAAGATTCTAGTACTTTGTGTGCTGGCGATTAGGTGCCGGACTCGGAGGTTGTGGGTTCGAATCCCGGATAGGTTCTCCCTATCCACACGGTTGTGGGTTCGAATCCCTGTGCCAACATACTGTGTCCTGTACCAACATAATGTGTACAATGTCATTTGTGCAAACTTATGATGTATCCTATGTCATCTTCGTCAACGTTCTGTGCATCCTTGGTCACCTGGTGTGAAGTGTAACCTGTCATAGCTGTGTCGTCACCCAGGTGTCGTTGTCGCCGTTGTCGAAAATTAGTTTTGGGGCTCCAGCACCGTTTTTTTAGCCAATCGCCAGGGGCTATGTTGTCACACGACAGAGGCGAGAGGGGCCGTGATACCCCCAAGCCTGAAATCTTCCTCTTTCTGCCTGCACTGTCGATGTGTCAACTAGCCATCTTAACCCCTGGATTGTGTTTTAGGTAAGAATCCCAGTTTGCCTCCAAATTGCAACTAGGTCTTCTGTATTAAATTCCAATGTATAGTTATGTTGTTAGCAGGATAAGTAATTGTGTGCGGTTTTAAATTAATACATTATTTAATTTGATAAATCAAAATTCAAAACAAGTGTTTGGGTCACTGTCATCAATTATTCTTGCTGTGCCAAACTGGCGAAATGTCACTCAATCTGTGACTGTCCAAACGTGCACTCATTGGCAAGAATAAATGACATGTACTCATTGTAATATATTTCCCTTTGGAAATTAACTTTAGTAAAGTACTTCGTGTGTTTAGAATTAACTTGCTTATTTGATCTGCTAGTCAAGATTGTCTCTAGCTCATTGCTAAATTCAAAATTCCATTTATTTAAAACAGAACTCTTTGGCCATTTTATTCTTAATTAAACAGTGGCTGTATCATTGTCCCGGTTTCGTTGTTGTTGTTGTTGGGTTAGATGCTTTGGAAGTCGCCTTCGCCGGTTGGCATGTCGGCAGACCTATCCCTCGTTGGGTTGCGTGGGGGCCCGGTTTCCGAACCATGTGCTTATTTAAAGTATCACGGTATCATCTGGAAGCAATTAGTGGCGATCATTATCGCAGCTCACTGACCACTGCTGACCTCTCCACTGAGCAGCACACAACTTTGGCTGTCTTCGGCACTCCTCGGTATTCTTCGGCTCCCTTCCGGCTGCATTACAAAATGGATGCACTGGATCTAAACAAAACTAGGGTCCGTCGTCTGCTTCATGTTTATCTTAACATAGCTAGAGCCTACTACGATCTCATGTAACTTTATCCAGTATATCTGCAAAGTACTACTGATGGGTAAACGCATATTCACAGCATAATCATTCAGCATTTGAATATTATAGTCATCTCCAGACGTTGTTTATTTTCTGAACAAGAATATTTTCTCGTTCTCTTCGCTTCTAGCGTGACGCAATCAAACGTTGCCAACAGGCTTAGCATTAGCTACCATGCAACCATATCAATATACTCTGTGAAACATCAATCACAGTTATTTCTTGCTACATATGTAGTATCGCTACATGTTGTTATATCAATAATATTCTAGTATGTTCCCCCCACTTGATGTGACAGTGAAATCACTGTTTATTCAACAATAATATAATGTATTATATTATATGGCCAATAATATACCTCCAAATTGTAGTGATATAAATCATGTAATATCCATTTATTACATCTTATCAATTTATTTACTATAATTAAGGGTTCATTCTGGGTAGCCCCAAGTGGTTTACCTACTGGGTGTATCGACATTCTGTTGGAACTAGACCCATATTGACTTGTATGACCATCCAGCAGTCAGTCATACCCCATGTATATACTTCTCCCTGAAGATAAAAGTGAAACATGTTGGAGAAGATCCGTGTCGTGTGAATATTACATACTTTTATATTTCCCATTGGCCCTTTTTTATGTGACTTTCACCTCACTTCAGGTGGGGTCCTATGTGAATCCACTGATAGGAGGGATGTGACGACGATTCTTTGGGATTATTATATTAAAGTTATTTATGTAGATAGTTTTGGGATTGTATGCTCACATATGCATCTATGATTTGGTACCAATATTGTCTTTATATATTCTTTAATAATATTGTTTCCCCTTATAAGTATTGTCGTCACATCCTGTATATCACTCGGATTATTGTTAATCTTCACAAGTGTATCTGTACAATGGCTCTTTCTGCCTGCACTGTTGAGGTGATAACAAGCATCTTAACCCCTGGATTGTGTTTTAGGTTTCACCTGGACTGTGCAGTCGGAACTTGCAAACCTAACTAAGAGTTCCATTTTAATACACATTAGTACTGTCTTTTTGTTGACTGGAGCACGTCGCGCAATAGGCACACTTGCCCATCCCTTTCTCCCTTTAGACGCAGCAATTCACCAAGTCTTCCACCTGTAACAGACATACCCGTAACAGATATACCCAATTCATCCCATGCAAGTCTCGAATATGTGGCAAGTCCAGATTACCACAGTTTCTGAAAATATAGAAAGTCTCCGGGTCCCATCTTATCATATTTTATGATATATAATTTAGGAAATGAGTATTTTGTTTCTGTAACATATGTTCATTTCAGAGACTAGATGTTAGTCCAGGGTTAATTGCAACTATGTCAGTCTTGTGGGAAAGGAACATTATAGCGTAATAGATACTGACAACATTAAAACTGATTAAGGTTATTCAGATATTCACGCTTGATGGAATGAGTGCTCATATGTGAATATGCTCGACAAAAGATAAACACAAAACTGTATAGTCTTCATTTCACCATACTGTAGTCTTTACAAGACATTCGATATCATGCTTGTCACATTTGTACTCGTATCTGAGATGCGAACACACAAAGTCACCGCGTCAGTGTGATGTATTTGAAAGGAAATGACTGATTTACCTGAGTACTTACGTCCCTCTGTGGAGCTGATGCCGATCTCGAATTCTCCTTCGACCGTATCACTTGTAATTCCGCAGTGGCTTATTTCTGAACCATGTGGAAATGCATGTGTATTCTTTGGGAAACTGCAACATTATGTTAAGCCTAATTGATCATATTGATACGCCAGTGCTTTTTTACATTGCATATCAACTTTTAATTACACATGGCGACTTTTAATGTGCAACATGCTGACAGAACACATCTTGATATTCAAGGACATATGGTTCCAGATTTCCCAACGGAATGGCTGCTGCAAGAATCCAATCAACAGGGTTTGCTGACAACTGGCAAGCTTGGAAGACCCTTGCTGAATGTAATCTGCGCATGTTCGAAGCGGAAGATTCGTGTGACGTCACTTTCAGAGTGGGATGTTCGGGTCATGTGATCAAGGCCCACCGCTACGTCCTCATCAGCAGAAGTTGTGTGTTCCACGCCATGTTTACTGGCCCCCCTAGCGGGGAAATCCGATGTCAGAGTTCCTGATATAGAGCCAAATCACTTCAAACAGTTTCTCTTGTAAGTTTTTATCATAACATTATTACTTGTTAATACACCACAACATTCCTATTAACTCACTCACTCAGTAACAAACCATAGGTTATCCTGTTCGCTACCTCGGTATTTCTATAGGTAACATGGTCGGGGTCGGTAAGGATTAATGAGTGTGATTAGAATAAATGGATCCGCCATTCCGCCTCTTAGGATCCGTTGATTATTGGTAGGAATCAATATGTGACCCCACTATGATCTTTCGTTTGTCAGGACTTTACCCGTACTTTACCCTTTCACCATATTCTCTATTTCGTATAAGTCACTTAAGTAGGCAGTTCTAATACTGCCGTCTTTCTGTGACAATGTCATAATTAAAACACTGTTTAGATCGACACTAAATCTAACTTACTCAGAACAGGAAAGTGTTTCAAAATGATGCTATATAAATGGAGCTTAGTAATTGTAGCAAGCAGAATGGTAGTATGTTCTGATGTATAATGCATGACGTGGTGGGAAGGTTTTCTTTGTGTTGTCCTCGTTAAGTTGCGCCCTGTCTGCACAGGCTTTACCAGCTGTGACCGCCTGAACGGGATGTTAGTTTATGTCTTCCAACATATTTCAGATATCTTTACACTGACAACACAACTGTTGACGTAGACAACGTAACAGCTCTACTCTACATCTCCAGGAAATATGCCGTGGACGTCTTGGAATCCGAATGTCTGGAGTTTCTGGAAGAAAACCTCAACGTTGACAATGCCTGTGTGGTTCTAGATGCTGCCGATCGTTTTGATCAAAGCTCGTTATTTCAGAAGGCCTTCAGCTTGATTATGAAAAACGGTGAGAGGTCACTTCAGTCAGCTGGTTTCCTGGAACTGAGCCAAGTGTTGGTGGATCAGATCGTGGAGTCAGATGACCTCGCAGTAGAGGAACATGTGGTCTTTAATGCTGTCAACGGCTGGGCAGAGGCAGAGTGTGGACGCCAGGGAAGGGAGGTAACTCCTGAAGCCAAGCGAGCAGTCCTTGGAGAGACTTTACTGAAAGTTAGATTTCCTCTTTTGAAGCAAACGTTCCTGTGTAAGGAGATCAAAGCTTGTGGTCTCCTGACTGAGCTGGAGCGTCTCAGCATCTTCGAACACATAGGATGCCCTGACAATGATGTGAAACCCTTCAACACCAAGCACAGACAGCAGACTACACACTCACCAACAAGGTTTCGAACAGAAAATAGAACTGACTGGAACGTTAATGGACAACTGAAAGATGCCATTTGCTTCCAAAGCAACCAAAACCTTGTACTCTGTGGATACAAACTGTATGGGTCAGACAGGAAGTCTCACGACTCTATTTACTCTGTCACAACCTACTTTGGGAACGAAGAAGATGTTCTACAGTGCATGATTCAAGATAGAACTGAGTACACTGTCAACAGTAAAGTTTTTGATGTGGTGTTTGGGGAGCCTGTCGCCATGACAGCGGGAGTGTGGTACACTCTGACAGTGCTGATAAAAGGCAGAAAGACATTAGCGGGACAGAATGGACAGAACGAGTTGCTATGCCCTGATGATGTACGTTTTACCTTCAAGAACTCACAACACAGCAGCAATGGCACTGGTGACGTCGAAGGACAAATTCCATCTCTTCTATATCGTATTGAATGATCACTAGCACTCAGGGGACGGGGCCCCGTTCCTCAAAGCGATCGTAGCGCTAAGATGATCGTAACGCCCATACTTTAACATAGACTTACGACTATCGTAGCGCTACGATCGCTTTGAGGAACTTTAAGCCTAGATTTTCGAAGCTCTCTTAGCACTAAGATAGTCGTAAGTGCCATACATTAACATTAACTTACGACTATCTTAGCGCTGAGAGAGCTTCGAAAATCTAGGCCCTGGTCTTTAAAAATAGTCTTTTCTACAAGTGGCATTAAAGTAATTGTGATTATTTTTGTGTTTGTGTTTGATTCTTTACAATTTCCTTAACGACATCTCTTTCTAACATAGTGTAGGCATAGCTTTTCCTCGTGTAGTCCCGTCGCAGAATGTGTCCACAGCACCCAATTCCTGGTTGTAAAAAGTGACCGAACTGGGCAACCTGTTTGCCGTGGGTTGCGCCCCTGTTGCTATACTTATGAGTGACAGTATGTCATCCTTTTTCCATCGTGTACACGGCGAGTGGCTGGACGCTGTGTTTCTTGTGTCTAAGCGTATAAGGACAAGTAAAAAGCTTATTTCTCGGTTGTGTCTATATGACATCAGATTTCACGCTTCACCTCGCCGAGTACATGTACCGATGTCAAACAAGAGGAGAATAATTTTATTTCATGTGATGCTCGTTATATTATATGAATTAGTTGTGAGGAATATATCATATTTCCGATTGGATGTCAAGTTCGTGGGTGAATGATAGTGTTCTAAGAGGGTGTTTCAATTTCCTAATCGTATTAAGTTGACTTCACGTTATTGAATGTGGTTGCATTTTTTATAATTAATGGCAGTTTTAACATATTTTAGGCGGGCGGAACTTGACTATTATTGTTTGGATAATAGTGACTTCATTATTTCTGGAGCTTTTTGATGGACGAACTTACATATTGTTGAGGAACTTTCTACCTTTTTATGACGATACACATGAGGAACTTTGTGCCCCACTTGTGTACCCAAATCGTAAAAAACAAATATTTTGTTGTAAATAACTACGGACGATAATTACTAGATGTATCAAAACATTTTGGATGGTACATGTTACATGGCAGATTCTCAGGTGAGGGTGACTATACATATCTTGATTGGTCCCACCGGTTGTAGCCCACCAGACTATACCATTATGTGTGTCTCTCGTACGGAGTCTGACCATCTCCCACTCACAACCACACTCTCATTACCGTGGAATCTTAATATTAAGCTGCTTCGGTAAGCTGTTCACTTCCGTATTGTGTAAGAGGCTACAAGGTACTCCGATAAGGTCAGCTTGATAAGTGAAGCGCAAGCGGGTTTAGAAAGGGTTACTCAAATATTGACAATATGTACCTTTTAACATCTGTAACTGATATTTATCTTAGCCAAAATAAGAAATTGTATTGTTGTTTCGATGATTTTCCTGTCCAACCAACATTAGAATGAGGTGCGCGGAAGACGCGATTGTGAAAGGAGAGGGGAGCCTGCCATGAACTGATCCACTACCCACTCGAAGGGGCAACAGGTGTGAAAACTTTGCGCACGTGATATTTGTGATCCTTGCAGTAATCACTTTCTACGCAATGATTCGGAAGCGTCGTGTTTCTGCTCGAGGATTTGTATACTAGTATCTTGCAAAGTGGACTGTTAAAAGAGTATTAAACTCTGCAGGTATTTGAAACTTATCATGTCGCACTCTAAATTGGGTAAACGAGGTCAAGTCATTCATTCACAATCACGTGAAGTTGCCTACAATGTCATTCAGTACATGTGTGCTATTTCTGACAGCACACACAGTGCACTCAAAAAGCCAGAGATGCTACTGGTATATCTGTCAGTACCTTGCTCAAAATAAATGACGAAGGTAAATGCGTTCCCGCAATGGGTACCAGTAAGTTCAAACGCCCAGAGAAAGTGCGCACTCGTATCGAATTGAAAATTGAATTTGATGATTTTGATAAATGCGCAATTCGCCAGTACATTCAACACTGCTACACAGAAACCAAGACAATGCCAACACTGACAAGCATTATGAAAATGGCTACTGATGATTTGGGATATACAGGGGAGTAAAGAAACAATGCGTAAATGTTTAAGAAAAATTGTTTCAAATGGAGGAAAACTCGTTCAGACAGACAGGTCCTAATGGAGCGAAAAGACACTGTTGCATGGCGTTTGAGATATCTCAAAACAGTCCAATCGTGTACATCGACGAAACATGGGTACACGCCCATCACACAGTATCAAAATGTTGGCAAACTGATGAGGAGGGAGCAGTTGACGGTATTCGGGTACCATCGGGACAGGTCCAAGGTTAATTATAGTCCATGCTGGTACAAGTGAGGTTCATTCCTATGCTTCGCTTCTTTGATATTTAAAGCCAAAACAAAAGAGCGACGATTACCATGACGAAATGAATTTCAACAATTGGTTGCAAGAAAATTTATTCCCCCAATCTGCCCCAAACTCGAGTAGTTATAATGGACAATGCCCCTTACCATAGCAAAACGACAAACAAAGCTCCAATAACTGCCAATCGGAAAGATGAAATCAAATCATGATGGCTACAAGGCATGATATACCTTTACACATTCAATGTTGAAGGTTGAATTGCTTATACTTGTGAAATCACGTCCGCGCGGCCCCGTATATCATGTCGATGAAATTCACAAAACCCATGTGCATACTGTTTTCCGATTACCTCCTTATCGCGCCGATTTTAATGCCATAGAATTAATTTGGGCGAATTTGAAAAATTGGATTGGGTCCCAGAATTTAGATTTCAAAATGGCTTTTGTACAGAGGGCCTTCTACGAACGATTGGCATATATTGGCCAGAAGGAATGGTCAGACTGCAGACATGTGATGGAAATTGAGGATCGTTACTGGCATCGAGAAATTGCCCTAGAGGATGAAATCGAAAACTTGTCATCGAACTTGGCGTCGATACTGATGACAGTGATATTGATGACGAGTAGCAGATTCAAGAGACTTACATATAGCAAATAGCAGATAAACTACCACTGGGCAATGGATTACTAAGTTTTGTTTGTTTTATTTATTCGTACCCCGATTTTAGAATTTACATAACGTTATTTCATTCCCCTCGAGGACAGCACAAACGTATTATCCATAAATATTCACACACACAGAACCTAAGGCTAGGACAGAAATTAACCTTTGGTACTTTTTATCGTTAAACACAAAAATATTCGAGTGTTTTATTGGGTTGTGTATGGAAATCGTCAACCGTAATATAACAAATAGAACCCGTTCCAGAAGAGCGAGAGTAAACTGACACGCTTCACAGCAGTTTATCGCTTTACATACCCTCGGCCCCTTAATGGTAAAATGGACTGCACCGCTATTCAGATTCACGGGTTCAAATGACAGGTCGGCATTATTCTTAAGTTCGTCTCACAGTAGTAAAGCTTTTGATACTGTGTGGCGCTCTGGTTTATGGAGTAAGATGATTAAATCTAATATTTCAGGTAAATGTTACCTCGTCATACGTAACATGTTCAAATGTATTAAGTCATGTGTTTCATACACTGGTAACACCAGTGATTATGTTCATTGTTGTTCTGGTGTTAGTCAAGCGCGAAATCTCTCCCCATTCCTCTTTGCATTGTACCTAAATGATCTGAAAGAGTATTTATTAACCAATAATTTTAATGGCCCTGAACATTTGAATAGTAACATTCATCATAATGTCGGTATCTGTTTAAAACTTCTCTTGTTACTCTATGCAGATGACATAGTTTTATTCGCAGAAACCCTAATGATCTAAGCAAATCTTTATTTTTTATTTGATGAGTATTGTAAAAGATGGAAATTAACTGTAAATGTTTCTTAAACAAAGATATTAATTTTGGAAGGAGGCCTGATAAAATACACAATGTGTTCAAGCTACAACAGCAAAATATTGAATTGATCTCAGAATAGGTATCTTTGGTATTTTATTTACTTGCACTGGTAGATTGTGTAAAGCTCAAAATAGAATTGTCGAGCAAGCCTCAAGAGCAATGTATGCAATATTTAGAAAATTACATTTGTTAGATATTCCCATTGACTGTCAGCTGAAACTCTTCGATAACCTTGTGCAGCCGATGTTGTTATAACGGCTCAGAAGTCTGGGGCTTCGAGAAGAGTACTTTTTAGAAAGGTTCATTTAAAATTTTGTTAATATACTGAGTCAAAAAAGAAACTTCACATTCTTTCTTCAGGGCACTATAAAAGAACAAGAGATGGTAAGATGGTTAAATTGTTATTATTTCATTGCTGAGATCTGTGTGATGTACTCGATACACTGACAGTGACATAATCAGTTCCATTAGGCTACACCGCCGTTCCAAAACATGGGTATACAGAATGTCAAGTCACAAGAATAAAAATGCGAAATTTCTCAGTTCAATATCGTGTATGGCCGCCCCGCGCATTCACCACTGCTAAACACCGTCTCCTCATCGACTGCCTGATGCTTGTGAACACGTGGTTGGGGATTCTGCGCCATTGCTCTTGCAAGGCAGCGCCAAGTTCCTGCAAATTCTGAGGCTGGTTCCTAAGACCACGAAGCCTTCTCCCAAGTGCATCCCAAACGTGCTCTATTGGATTAAGGTCAGGGGACCTCGATGACCAGTCCATGACGTTGATTCCAGCGTTTTGAAGGAAATTTCGTGTCAACATCGCGGTATGCGGCCGAGCATTATCATGCTGGAACTGTAGACCTGGGCCATGAGCCGCCATGAAAGGAACGAGTTCAGGGTGAGCACCTGGTCGCGGTAAGCAGCAGCTGTGAGGTTTCCACGGATGACCAGAAGTCGGGAACGGTTGTTCCACAGAAAGCATCCCATACCATGCAACTTCCGCCCCCGAATCTGTCGACTTCCTGTACACAACATTGGGCATACCGTTCACGACGTCGTCTCCAGACTCTATGCCTGCCGTCCGCGAATCTGAGGGTAAACCTGGATTCATCGCTAAAGACGACTCGATTCCAGTCTCTCTGGGTCCATCGGAGGTGTCGTTGGGCCCACAGCAGACGTTGACGTTGATGAAACGGCGTCAATATTGGCCCACGATATGGACGTCGAGAATGGAGATTGGCAGCCCTCAACCGAATTCGAATGGTCTGTGAGGACAGTCGACCTCTAAACATCTCAGCCCTGGTTCGTGTAGCCGGCGAAGAAATCTGTCACGTAGGTGACGTAGGACGATTTGACGGTCTTCTGCTCGTGACGTGACGTGGACGACCCGTTGGGTGACGTGCCAGTTTGTTGTGGACGACCTCGCAAGTCATACACAGTACGACAGCTGCATCCCATTGCTCTTGCGACGTCAATAACTGATCTTCCCGCTTGCAACATGCCAACGGCACGTTCACGTTGCACATTTGACAATCGTGGCATTTCAAGTACCGTTAGCACTGTGGTTTAAAAGTGTTTTTTTCAATTCTTGAGGCCAATGCAAACACATGCATATGAAGAAAACTTCGATGCGAAGATCACGTGATCGACTGCACGTGCAAAACCTGATTTGGCACTAACGTCATTCGCACGACGAACGGATGGGTTTGAGTGGCTTTTGCTAGCGTTTTTCTAGAGTCGAAAGATAGGGATCCCATTTCGGATACATAGATGTATCATCAGAGAAAAATAGTTCATTATTTTTTCAAATAACATTTTGTGAAGTTTCATTTTTGACTCAGTATAAAATTTGTTTTTACAGTCGGCTCCAATGTAATTTGGATGACTGAATATTTCCTAAATGGAAATTCCAGAAGTATGCAAACTATATTTATTGTTCCGCAAATGAATGGCAGTTGTCGACTATTTGGCTCTGTTATCAATACGCCACTTATACATGTACACAATGATTTCAGCTGTAATTCTGCTGAAATAAATATCTGCTCATGATATTATTACAGTGCATATATTTCTTCATACATTTTTATATTTTGTTCACAAATTATTCATAACAAAGGAAATCTGTATAGGTGCAAGTCGCTGTGCATAGTCTGTCTTGTTTGTAGCCCAGCATGTCAAGCGCAATGGTAGTCAGTTAGCAAATGCGTCCACGCCAACCTTAATCTAATTAATCAAAGATGAAGTTAGTGAGCTGTGTCGGCTCCGGCCTTTCTTCTCGGATGTATCCCTTGGTCAAGTGCAGATAAGTAGTGCCATCCCAGCAGGAGCATGTTTACCACCTACTAAGTCGTAATCGAAAATCAACTTTTGTTGAACAAGATCGAGATTACCACCATGCCATCCTCTTTGTCCTGTCGTAAATGCCATGGTCAAGCGCTGACAGATACTAGTATTTTGTTAAGCAGCTGGCGCAAGCTGACCGTGGCTACACCATAAAAAAAAATCAAACCTTGTTACTTAATCATCTTCTTACCACCTACCTCGTGTAGTAAACCTTGTCAGCATAGGGTAGATAACGCATATGGAAACTTCAACTTTAGAGAAACTTGATAATGACAAACGAGTAGAGCTGTGGGTTATAAAATCCTGGGTTCTTCCATCTCAGGCATACTTGCTTGAATAAACCCAAGGAACTCACAGCTCTCTCCTTTCTTGTTTCAAGGCTCGCTCCCTATAGCTAATTCCCCAAATCGAGGCCTGACAGCACTTTTAGCACACCTAGCGCTAAGGGTCGTCTTAACGGACACAAAACAAAGCTGTCTTAATATAGTCACAATTGTACAATCGACTCTGTTTTTGGCAGAGATTTCTTATGAATGTGGAAAAAGGTTTTGTCCCTTCTATTTAAGGAAGTGGTCATATGTAGTGTATATGTTACACTTGGGATAACACTTTCTCAGTAAAATACAGGTTTTAGGACTTTCCTATCCGGGATTCGAACCCACACTCTCAGAGTGATGCATATGTTCAATATGCGCCTGTCATGATATCATTTTACAGTGATACGTATCCAGGCTTATTGGTCGAGAGCGTTGATAGTTGGACAAATTCAAATTCTCGTTTGTACTAATCACAATAGGCACCCGTTAAGAGCCACCTCCTCGTGTTGGATGCTGGGTAACGCTAGAGTCTTCTCTTCAACCCCCGTGTGGACCCTGGGGCATATTTGGCCCACAGCACCCCATTGTCGAATTGGGCAACCTGTTTGCCGTGGGTTGCGCACCTGTGTCGGTGGAGGACGGGATTCTGGTGGTTGAGCATGGAAACAACCAAATTCAGACTGTCTCGTTTGTACTAATCACAACATAATGAGTTGATAATGTGATATTGTCATACTAATTGTCGTCCACTCTAGTGAAGGCATTGGTCGGTGTTCTGCGCATTTTACTACAGAACCACTCTTTTCTTAGATTTACACTTCGTCCTGTATTTCCTAACACTTCGTCCTGTATTTCCTATGTCAACTGTGCCAACATAATGTATCTTATGTCAACTGTGCCAACATAATGTATCTTATGTCAACTGTGCCAACATAATGTGCGCAATGCCATTTCTGCAAGCGCAAGTAAAATATTACTTCACGTGTACCTTTTAAATTTCTTCTATATTTTGTGTATCTAACGTCAGTGTATGAACTCATTTGTGGTTTTAATGCACATTCTGCAGATACACGTATATTTACTGTTCACCTCAAATAAATTACCTTCCTGTTGAAGGGTTTCCAATTGCCACAGCCTCTCTATCAATATCAACTACACGGCCTAGTCAATTCTTGCCAGGTGTCAGTCATGTCAGCCCAGCATCATCTCTCAGACACCGGGGTATTATCTTTGGTTGGTTGGTTGGTTGTTTAACGCCGCACTCAGCAATATTCCAGCTGTTTAGCGGCGGACTGTTAATAATCGAGTCTGGGCCAAACAATCCAGTGATACACGAACGAACGATCTACAAAACTGGGATACGATGGCATATAATATCCAATATTAATCAGTGCTTCGTTATTGTTGTTATTCCACATTTTTTAAGCACATTTCAGCCTCTATTATTAGCCTCGTATATCATATATCCTTGGCGTATACCTTTGAGGGGGTAGTGGGTGTTGTGGGTTTTCGCTTTCACGCTCGAACGCCCAAAACAAGCTTTGGATACCTGGGTACAATGTGTGAAGCCCATTCCTGGTGTCGTGATGTTGCTGGCTTATTGCTCAGTAAAATCGGGCATATCAACGTCTTGAAAATACACTTTGAACAAACTACACGCATCGCATATAAGCATCACCTTGGACATAATTAAACTCATTTCTCTTCACGCGTATCTAAAATGAAACTAACGATCATGAATGAGAAGGAAACATAAAATCACATCACAAGGGATGGTCTCTCCACTTCAAAACTTCACAGAGCACCATACCGTTCTTCCTAAAAGATTGTTTTCACATCCATCACAACTGCAATGCCGGTACCCAACATACATATTCATCTAAAAGAGCGAATTAATTATTTAACATATTTTCCGAGAATGTCCCCCGACAGGCCCCCGTGTTACCTCTACATAGTTTCTACTGCTGCCGCATAAAACTTTGAGAAGTAAAGTATGATATTTTGTGTTGTATTTTTATGACATATCTGCAATGGAATTATGTCTGTATTTCATTATTAACAATGAGCCGTTTAACATTTTTATGAAGTTGCCTCACAATCCATTTACGAGTGAACCTTTCACCTCAACTCATAAACCGAAAGTAGACCACGTGACCCACACACGGAAGTCTACTAACAGCAAACAGAAACACCTCGTAGACAGCCCGGTTTGTGTTTGTTCTCCAGATATTGGTAAGTACATAAACATGTAGAAGGAATGGAAGCGTTTGTTACATAAAGGTGTTATATTCAACCTGGTGTTAAATATTGTTGGTTTTAGTTTCAACATTCACTGACAAGCAGGTGTGAAGTGTAACCTGTCATAGCTGTGCCCGGGTGTCGTTGTCGCCGTAGTCGTATATTGATGCAGGCTATCTAAGACATCCCCGAACTTCCATTCCAAAGTCGCAAGTGTTGTTACACTTATTATCTAACTGATTCAATTAGAATTTAGTAAAGGACACATGGGAAGCCGAGGATTTACATAGTGAACAAACTGGAGTTACCTCCCTTCCACCACGCCACAGTACACTGTTCAGCCTTGTGCGATACACTGGTAATTAGCGGAACATTAAGGTGTGAAGCATTACAGGTTTATGTCAAGTCTTACTGTCGTTAGGTTTATACATGCGCTGTGCTTTACATGGTTAGTTTAGACCTTCAGTTACGTCCATTACTTCCCCGCGACCCTTATTAAACCTTCGGTGAAATCGGTAAGATATCAATATCGTGACCAACCTGTTTAAAGTGCTGCAGGAGTTACCTCCCTTACACCTTGTCCACCATTCGATCTGAGTGCGGTATCAGTGTTTGGGTCTGTGAGTAAGGATAGAATAGATACCGATATATGGATATTAACAAATGCAAGTTTATCAGAACAGTTTCTCACTTTCAAACCAGATATGTTTTTCACGTAACAAGTGTTATATTTGGGATTACACTTTCTCAGTAAAGTTCAGATTCTAGAACTTTGTGTGCTGGCGATTAGGTGCCGGACTCTGAGGTTGTGGGTTCGAATCCCGGATAAGACTCAATCCAACAGAAATACGTACTAGAATCTCTTCTCTACTGAGAAAGTGTAATCCTAAATATAACATTTGACCACTTTCTAAATGGCATTGTGTATTCGCAGGTATGTTTCACATCAAGCCTTTCTACAAGAAAAGTGATCACAAATGACTGGGGTGGAATTCAGTGTTTTTGTGGTTTCTCATACATACCTTGTAACAGATATACCTTTAACAGATATACCCGATACAGCCCATGCAAGTCTGGAATATGTGACAAGTCTAGATTATCAGAGTTTCTGAAAATAAAGACAGTCTCTGGGTCCCATTTTACCATATTTTATTGTATTAGGAAATAAGTATTTTGTTTCTGTAACATATTTTCATTTCAGAGACCAGATATTAGTCCAGTGTTTCTGCATCTATGTCAGTCTTGTGTGGACTATTCACGTTTGATGGAATGTGAACAGGGGCTGTGGGGTAGCCTAGTGGTTAAAGCGTTCGTTTGTCACGCCGAAGGCCCGGGTTCGATTCCCCACACATGTGTACATGGGTACAATGTGTGAATCCAATTTCTGGTGTCCACCGCTGTGATGTTGCTGGAATATTGCTAAAAGCGGCGTAAAACCATACTCACTCACTCACTCATATGTGAACACATATGCTCGACACAAGATAAACACATAAGTCAAGATTTTATTACATAGTAAATGCTTCACACATAGCTAACTGTATAGTCTTCCTTTACCGTAGTCTTACCGTAGTCTTTACAAAACAATGGATATCATGGTTGTCACATTTGTACACACATCTGAGATGCCAACACAAAATGGTTACCGCGTCAATCTTATGTTTTTGAAAGGAAATGACTAACTTACCTGAGTACTTTAGTCCCACTATCGAGGTAATGCCGATCTCGAACTCTCCTTCCACCTTATCACTTGTAATTCTACAATGGCTTATGTCTGAACCATGAAGGAATACTTGTGTACTCTTTGGGTATCAGCAATATTATCTTGAGCCTATTTGGTCATATTGATATGCCAGAGCTTTTTACATTGTATATCAACTTTCAGATACAAATGGCGACTTTTAATGTACAACATGATGAAAGGACACATCTTGATATTTAGAGACATATGGTTCCAGATTTACCAACGGAATGGCGACTTCAGACATCCAACCAACGGGGTTTGTTGACAACTGGCAAGCTGGGAAGACCCTTGCTGAATGTAATCTGCACATGTTCCTAGCGGAAGATTCGTGTGACGTCACTTTCAGAGTGGGATATTCGGGTCATGTGATCAAGGCCCACCGCTACGTCCTCATCAGCAGAAGTTGTGTGTTCCACGCCATGTTTACTGGCCCCCTGGCGGAGAAATCCGATGTCAGTGTTCCGGACATAGAGAACAACCATTTCAAACAGTTTCTCCTGTAAGTTTTAATCATGACGTTATTGAAGGAAAACTAAGTTCTATGAATAGTCATCTTCTTTATTGCAATGAGTGCGAGGTGTCGGTGTAGGTACTAACACCGTTATGAAGCATGTGTTCATCCCATTGCAATAACGAAGCTGACTATCCATAAAACTGGGTTTTCCTTCGATGTCTCTCAGAGAAGCTATGACAATGTTGATAAGTTGGAACTCAGAAATATTTTTCCATTATGTCAAAATGTCAGACCTTAATATATAGATCATATGCTCAGGGTCGGTCTGGATACTATGATTGACCGTAGAACGGATGGTTGTCTCCCCTTAATCATCCCACGATCCGCTGATCATTGCAAGGAATTTCAAAAGTGACCCGACTATGATCTCTCGTTCACTTAATTAGGTATTTCTGACTCGTTCAGTCTTCCTGTGATAATTTCATTATTGAAATACTGTTCAAATCAGCAGTAAACCCTACTCACTCACTCACTCACAACTCCCAGGTGTCATTTCAGTTATGCAATTACAGCAAGCAGAATTTAAATTTTCTAACAAACACTTCAATTCGAACGGTAGAGTGATCTATTGATAATTACTGTTTGGGTTGACGTTTTGGGTTGTTTTTGGTTTTTTTCCTTTTGCTGTGCTGTGCAAGGGCTCTTAAGTGTACATAGGCATCACTAGCTTTTGTTTGTAACAATGGAATGGCTTTCATCTTGTCTATTGACATCTTCATTCAGATATCTTTACACTGACAAGACAACTGTGGATGCTGACAACATAACCGCTCTACTGTACGCCTCCAGGAAATATGCCATCACTGCCTTGGAATCAGAATGTCTGGAGTTTCTTGAGAAATACCTCAACACTGACAATGCCTGTGTGATTCTAGATGCTGCTGATCGTTTTGATCAAAGACCCTTGTTTCAAAAGGCCCTCACCGTAATAAAAGATGGAGGTGAGAAGTCATTACAGTCAGCTGGTTTCCTGGCGCTGAGCCAAGTGTTGGTGGATCAGATCGTGGAGTCAGATGATCTGGCAGCCGAGGAACACGTGGTCTTTAATGCTGTCAACAGATGGGCAGAGGCAGAGTGTGGACGACAGGGAAGGGAGGCAACTCCCGAGGCCAAACGATCAGTTCTTGGTGAGTCTTTACTGAAAGTTAGATTTCCTTTATTGAAGCAAAAGGTCATGGCTAAGGAGGTCAAAGCTTGTGGTCTCTTGACTGATCTGGAACGTCTTAAGATCTTGGAAAACATAATATGCCCTGACAATGATGTGAAACCCTTCAACACCAAGCCAAGACAAAGAAGAACCCGCGCTGTCCATAACACGGTTTCCAATAGAAACTAGTTATGGCTGGAATGTTGATGGAAAAACTACCGATGCCATTTCCTTCCAGAGCAGCCAAAACCTGATGCTCTGTGGATACAGACTGTATGGGCCTGAAAGTGAGTCTGCACCAACTACCTACTCTGTCACCACCTACTTTGGAAACGAGGAAAATGTTCTCCAGAGCAAAATTCAGGATAGAACTGAGTACACAGTCAACAGTAAATTATTTGATGTGACGTTTGAGGAGCCTGTTGCCATGGCAGCCGGAGTGTGGTATACGCTGGCAGTGCTGATAAAAGGCAGAAAGACCTTTGGGGGACAAAATGGAAAAGTAGAGTTGTTATGTCCTGACGGTGTTACGTTTACCTTCAGAAACTCACAATACAGTTACAATGACACTTGTGTCAGTGAAGGACAGATTCCATCTCTCCTATATCGTATTGCATGATCAAATTACCATACAGAAACAGTTCTCTAAATTTTCCTTTACAAGATAGGTTTGTTTTGTATACACGTTGCGTCCTTCACAAGCTTTTTCAATATTGCCTCTTTGTAAATAGAGTACATGCATGAGTTTTCTCCCTTACATCACGCCCAAATGTGAACTGGCAGCACATTTTGTGCTGTTATCTGCTAGTTTGTGTTATTAGAATTGCAATTCTTGATAACATGTGGAAAGTATATAATGATGTTAATGAAGTCAAGTTGCGTTAGCTGCTGCTCACTCTCATACTTCCAGTTATCAAAGCGTTTTACCTTTATTGTTTCTGGTAAAAACCGAAGATATTAGAAAACACAACATTAATGTAAGTTTAGTGTGTCAACAGATATGGTTGATATAAACCACTTTGGCGTCATTGTATGGTTGGGGGGAAATGACGGGCTTTTCTTTGTGCAAAGTACATTGACCACACACACGCACGGACACACACGCACGCGTGCGCACGCACACACACACACACACACATACGACAATAATAATAAATTGTAATCATATTTAATGCAATATGTCTACTCCAATCAAAAACAACCGCACACCCGTCACAGGGGGTTCGAACCCCAGAGGGGATTGTATGCCTCACTCTGACAATGTGCGTTCGATTCCCGGATGAGGACCAATCTGCAAAAGTACTTGAATTTGTGCTTTATTGATCGAGTGTAATTTTTGTTTCATTTGTTCAGTTTCTTAAAAGCAGTAAATTCGTAGAGGTATTTTTATGTCTCGATTGTTGGCTATTACATGCAGCAATATGCAGCTTCATACAGTCAGTAAACAGTACTCACCGAACATACAATTGTAAGGCGACATAAACATGAACCATATACTAGTATAGAGAGACACTTGTCCAGTCTGACAGCAAAATAAACGTGCATGTAGCATTGTGCCATGGAGTTGGTGATGTACAGATGGCGGCTAAACTGATGTTGATACTGCAGTAATCCCTTGATGTGGCCATTTCAAAGTATTCGTAGATTTTAGAATAAACTAGAAAGAGAGGGAGGGTTCCTTATTTTTGAAGGTCCCTTAACTAAAAAAGCGGAATCGATTGAAATGTAGCAAGTGACCTGCTTTGGTACACACGTACTAGTGACGATGGTTGACCCCGCCTTTATTTGAGCATTTCACGTACACTGAGCTACTACATGCATACGGATCTGTTCGAAAGTTTGAGGAGACGGGTCCGAGGCAGTGATCACAACGGTTCCATTCCCTGTAAATCTGACACTCCAATATGCGTGTGCTGACCTTGAAATGTATAATTATATCCGGAGCATGTGTTCATGAATCAATAGCAAATAGTATTACGCCGCTGTCAACCGTCAACCGTCAACCGTCAACACATGCCACGACTCGATGAAGCCGATCACGATTCGATCATCGGCCGCGTGGATGCATGAGCATTCAGGCTTGCTGTTACTATCGCAACGGCAATGGGCGACCACAGCAACGCCTAGCATCAGCAAAACATGCGACATTTCCACAAATATAATTTAGTTTACAGTTGGCACCAATGTAATTGTATATTTATTTCCTTTATTAAATTATGAATACACAATGCCATTTAGAAAGTGGTCAAATGTAACATATGTTCCACAAAAATTGTGAAGCAAGAATTGTGTATTCATAGCTTTCGGCCGTGGGAGCCATGCCAATTTACAGTTATCAGAAGGGTACAGAAAGTCCGCAGTCCAGACTACCAGTTGTCCCACTTCCATTTTTGTGTAAGCTGCAGTGGCTGAGCGGGTTAGGCGGCTGACTTTGTGTGCCGGCGATTAGGTGCCTGAATCTGAGGGTGTGGGTTCGAATCTCGGATGGGACTCAAACAAACAAAAGTACTAGAATCTGTAATTTACTAAGAAATTGTAATCCCAAATATAACATATATATTGTGTAAGTACGCTATAATCTATTTATTGTTTCACAAATGAATGGACGTTGTGCAGTCAATGTTGACTATTGGGCTGTGTTACTGGGCTGGGGCGGTGGGGTAGCCTAGTGGTTAATGCGTTGGCTCATCACGCCGAAGACGCGGGTTCGATTCCCGACATGGGCACAATGTGTTAAGCCCATTTCTGGTGTCCCCCGCCGTGATATTGCTGGAATATTGCTCAAAGCGGCGTAAAACTAAACTCAGTCAGTCAGTCAGTCAGTGTTACTGGGCTGTGTGTTTCTTAAGAAAGTGGTTATATGCAGTATAGGTTACAGTTCGGATAACCCTTCCTCAGTTATCTGAAACTGGTTAGGTATGTATCTAAAGCAGTTTTATATTTCAATTTGACTTTATTACCAGCGAGTCATCACTTTAATGCAATTCTTCATGACCACACAAATATTTTCCAACATATGTATTCTCGAAAAATGTTATTAAACTTGTACCTCGTCATCTTCGTTGAGAAACGGCAGTAAAATCTTTTTCACTTGTACTGTTTCATTTTCTTAAGCTTTGTGCGTTTGACTTATTATATGAACTAATTTGTGTTTAAATTCACATACTGCAAATAAATATGTATATATTGTTCACCTCAAACATGTTACCCTCCTGCCGTATGTATCCATTGTCAATATCACCTACACCATGGTGTTATCAATTCTTTGACCCGTGGAGATCCGGGTTAGAACTGGCCTTCAGCAACCCATGCTTGTCGTAAGATGTGACTAACGAGATCGGGTGGTCAGGCTCGCTAACCTGGTTGACACATGTCATCGTATCCCAACTGCGTAGATTTATGCTCATGCTGTTGATCACTGGATTGTCTGGTCCAGACTCGAAGACTTACAGACCGCCGCGATATAGCTGGAATATTGCTGAGTGCGGCGTAAACCTAAACTCACTCACTCACTATCAAGTCTTTCCTGGTGTCTGTTATGTCGTCCAAGCATCATCTCTCAGACACCGGGTATTATCTTTGACATGACATTGATGTTGCGTATTAAGCTTTATATCAATGTGCTCATATCAACATAACAGTCGCGAATAGCAGATATAATACTGACATAGTTATACACATTATAATATATCAAGCATCCACCTTCTGTCCGATTAGGTGCCTGACTCTGGGGTGTGGGATCGAATCACGGATGGGACTCAATTATAAAACAAAAGTACTACTATCTGTACCTTCTACTTTACTGAGAAAATGTAATTCCAATTATAATATACAAGAATACACTTCATCCTTACGTTTATGGTGAGTGAGTGAGTTTAGTTTTACGCCGCTTTTAGCAATATTCCAGCAATATCATGGCGGGGACACCAGAAATGGGCTTCATACATTGTACCCATGTGGGGAATCGAGCCCGGGTCTTCGGCGTGACGAGCGAATGCTGTAACCACTACCCCACCGCTCCTCCATTCATTTTGAAGGACATGATTCATCTTTCATGTCGCTGCATCGCCCCGGTAAAGTACACATGATCTCATGGGAAGGTTGACGCACTGTTACCTGCTTCCTGTGCACGTGTGTTTACCATTGACGTCATTAAGTGGGCACTGACAAAACACAATAACGACTGACATAGTTTCATATATCGATCCTCAACCAAGAACATTGATACACTGGCGTTTATTCTTTAATCATGGGTTCGGAAAGAACCATTCACAGGCATCTGCATACGCCAGTGGGGCCTGATTGCAGTTGAAGTAATTGTTTACTTGGAATGTGAGATATTTTACTGTTAAACATACACACTGTGTTTTTCAATGCAGAGCTGAATTTGAAAACCTAACGCGAAATTGGTAAGTTTTGAATTAAGGACAAGCAGAAAAGTTTTACCACTGAAAAAAGTTAATGAGAGAAGTGACGTGGGTTCAACTACATTGATTGAGCATCTTATGGGATAGCCACAGCACACCGAGACCACGCACCTGCGACTTGGCCCACAAACATATTGAATCTTTTGTAGAATAAGTCTTGACGAGTGAGTGAGTTTTGTTTTAAAGCCGGTTTGAATGGTAAACCAGTTGACCACGACGTGTCAGCTTCCTGGAGGTCCTACACGTTTACGACTTCGGTGAAACCCATGAGTGAGTATGGTTTTACGCCGCTTTTAGCAATATTCCAGCAATATCATGGCGGGGGACACCAGAAATGGGCTTCATACATTGTACCCATGTGGGGAATCGAGCCCGGGTCTTCGGCGTGACGAGCGAATGCTGTAACCACTACCCCACCGCTCCTCCATTCATTTGAAGGACATGATTCATCTTTCATGTCGCTGCATCGCCCCGGTAAAGTACACATGATCTCATGGGAAGGTTGACGCACTGTTACCTGCTTCCTGTGCACGTGTGTTTACCATTGACGTCATTAAGTGGGCACTGACAAAAACACAATAACGACTGACATAGTTTCATATATCGATCCTCAACCAAGAACATTGATACACTGGCGTTTATTCTTTAATCATGGATCCGAACCAGACAGGCGCCATGTGACTACTGCCTACGTGTCCATCGACGGCAATGGACGACCACAACGGTACTCACCAGCTAAACACGTGACATGTCTACAAATAGTATTTGTTTTTACAGTTGGCCCCAATGTAATTTGGATGACTGAATATTTCCTAAATGGAAATTCCAGAAGTATGCAAACTATATATATATATTGTTCCACAAATGAATGGAAGTTGTCGACTATTTGGCTGTGTTACCAATACGCCACTTATACATGTACACAATGATTCTAAATACACAATGATTTCAGCTGTAATTCTGCTGAAACAAATATCTGCTCATGATATTATTACAGTGCATATATTTCTTCATACATTTTTATATTTTGTTCAAAACATTATTCCTAACAAAGGAAATCTGTATAGGTGCAAGTCGCTGTGCATAATCTGGCTTGTTTGTAGGCCACTTCAGCCATCTGGTTTCCTGGAACTGAGCCAAATGTTCTGATGATCTGGTAGTAGAGGAGCATGTGGTCTTCAATGCCGTCAACGGCTGAGCAGAGGCAGAGTGTGGACGCCAGGGAAGGGAGGTAACTCCTGAAGCCAAGCGAACAGTCCTTGGAGAAACTTTTACTGAAAGTTTGATTTCCTCTCTTGAAGCAAACGTTCCTGTGTAAGCAGGTAAAAGCTTGTGGTCTCCTGACTGAGCTGGAGCGTCTCAGCATCCTCGAACATATTGGATGCCCTGACAATGATGTGAAACCCTTCAACACCATGCACAGACAGCAAACTACACAGCAATCACTAACACGGTTTTGAACTAGATGGAAATACCTGGCAAGTTAATGGGTATCTGAAAGACGCCATTTCCTTCCAAAGCAGCCAAAACCTTATACTCTGTGGATACAGACTGTATGGCCCTGAAAGGAGGCATGGAACCACTACCTACTCTGTCATCACCTATCTTGGACAGGAGCAGAATGTTCTACGGTGTATGAATCAAGATAGAACTGAGTACACTGTCAACGGTAAAGTTTTTGATGTGGTGTTTGGGGAGCCTGTCGCCATGACAGCGGGAGTGTGGTACACCCTCGCAGTTCTGATAAAAAGGCAGAGAGACGTTTAGGGGATTAATGGAAAAGAAGACGGAATGGCGTCGACGGAGGACAAATCCCATCTCTTCTATATCGTATTGCATGATCACTAGCACTCAGGGACAGTTCTTTAAATATGGTCTCTTCTACAAGTGACATTAGAGTAATTGCGCCTATTTTCGTATTTGTGTTAGATTCTTTCAATTTCTTAACGACATCTCTTTCTAACATAGTGTAGGCATAGCTTTTCCTCGTGTAGTCCCGTCGCAGATCGTGTCGACAGCACCCCAGTGCTGGTTGTAAAAAGTGACCGAACTGGGCAACCTGTTTGCCGTGGAGTTGCGCCCCTGTGTCGGTGGAGGACAGCATTCTGGTGGCTGAGTAAAGGAGCCAGGAACAGTGTTCCACTTGCCCAACACATCACTTCGACCCTCACTTCACCTAGAGGAGTGGTAGAATGGGCCCAGTTCTATTACTCGGCTGGGCATGCCAAGACCTGAGTGTAAATGGTATACT